CATCTGTAACTCACTTAAAGATGTCATTACCCGCTACACCCAGTCTCAGCGCCCAATTTGCATCTATACCCCCGGACCGCATTCAACTTTGCATTTTAGTACCCGACTTTCCCCTGTGTGAAATTATAGGCATACCCAGTCCCGCAGGCCCTGATTTCCAGGCAACGAAATTACGCCCATCGCCCAGAAACGGGCTGACGACCACAAAATTATCCTCATGCAAACCACGTGGACCCTTTTTCTGGTCCAGAGGCTGCTGGGTATGAGCATAATGTCAGGCATCTGGTATAGAAGGGTCTGTGAATAATTTGGCCGTTCCACCTCAGTCCCATGTATGCCCATAATTTTGCCTGGGTATGTCCATAACTTGCGCATTCTGGTAGTACTTGGTTATAACTGCAATTTTGCAGTACCAACCGGGGTCCACCTCAGTCCTGGGCACACATAATTGTCCACCGGCAGTTTTCCAGGTATAGGTGCAAGTTGGCGCTGGGACTGGGTATAGCGGGTATTCCCATCTTTAAGGGGGTACAGATGCAGTTCTCCCTCTTCTTTATTATGTCAGGACCTTTCAAACACGGCCTGAGACGCACAGCTGATTTCTGAGTTTTGCCAATGGAAATGTATGCCTTGCTGAGTCTCCCGCTTGTTGCAGAGGAGTGTGTGCGTGCTTGCTGATCTGCGTGCCTGTCTGAGTGCTCTCGTCGGTTTGAGTGTGTGTGCGCGACCCGCAAGGGTACTTGTCCGTGCGGACGGCCCAAAGGGCCGGTACTTACCTGTGGCCGTGACATTGAGGGTTGCAGCGGGGAAAACACTCAAGTGGCAGGAAGAGGCCCGCGACACTTGGAGCAGCGGAAAACACTCAAGTAGCAGGTAGGCCGGTACCACTGAAGTAGTGGTCGAAGTGTCGGGAACTGGAGGCCGAGCAGAAGAAGACAAAAAGTTGGCATTTTTAGAGGCCCAGTAGTGGTAGGCTAGAGGTAGGCCGGTACCAGTCCAAGTAGCCCGGGTCTAGGGCCTGTCCGGAGGATAGCAGAGCCTGCAATGATGTGCCGGTAAGGTGATACCACACCAGGAGGAGGTAGATGTGCCGGGTACTTCAGGCCAAGCAGAAGAAGGCAAAGTTGGCATTTTTAGAGCCCCAGTAGTTGTGGGCTAGGTCTAGGCGGGTACCCGTCCAACTACCGTCTTCACCCGAATAGAACGCCCGGTTATTATAGCTGTATCTGGACCGAAAAGTGCACCAAATACGGCTATAATGACGGGGCGTTCTATTCGGGTGAAGACGGTAGTCTGAGTCTAGGGCCTGTACGGGCAATATCAGAGTCTGCAATGATGTTTCCCTCCAAATGGGAGGAGGTACCAGTTGCTTGGAGGTTGTGCGGCCTAGGAAATCACTCTCCACGAGGCAAGGAGGCTGCCATATCTCCAGGAGGAGCTAAGTGATCCTCCTCATTGTCGGTGTGCAAGTTTGGCGACACACTGCCTGGAGCACTGGCTGGAGCAGCGCTAGCATCACAGCAGCGCTGCTGGAGAAGGAGCAAGGACAGGAGGAGAAGGAAGACCAGGACTGGGAAGGGGGAGCGCCAGAGGTACTTACCTGGCTATGGTGGACATCGTCTTCCTCACTGAAGGCCACCAAGGTGAGGAAGACGATGTCCACCATAGCCAGGTAAGTACCTCTGGCGCCAAGAAGCTTCGAGGCAGAGTCAGGCATCTGGAAGGCCCTGCTGGGATAGAGCTGCGCCAAGAAGCTTCGAGGCAGAGGCAGGCAAAGCTTCTTTTTTTTTTCCCCCTTTGCATTGATTGCTCTCCTATTGAGAGGATTGCCTAACCATTGGGGGATATACCCCTACAGCACTCAGGCTAAGTTTTCGGGCATCGCCACACCACTCTCGAAATGAGAATGAACTTCCCAGCAGAACATGGCCAAATGCACCTGCCAGGCCCTTTTCCTCCCAAGAGCATTGATTGCTCTCCTAGTGTGTGCAAGGATTGACTATTGGGCATCTATCCCAACTCTACTCTCTTTTAAACATCCATTCTCCCACCCTGTTTTTACCGACCGTAAAAACAGCCTGATTTTACCTTTCGGTCGACCGAAAGGTGACGACCGAAAGGTGAAAACAGCCTGATTTCACATTTCGGGCGACCACAATTAACCATAGTAGTAATGAAGGGTTAACTTCGGTCGAACGAAGGCTACCTCAGAGTGATTATTTTACCCGTCGGTGGACCGAAGTTAACCGTTCATTACTACTCCAATCCCCGCTGAAATTTCCTATGCCCTGAGCTCTGTTCCCCCCTTGTGTCACCCAGACCCTGATCTCAGCCAGCACAACATATGACACAAGGTTCTCCGTAGTCTTTTTTTTAAGTGAAACAAGTGCGGCCACAATGCATTTTGAGTTCGTAGGGGGGGAACGAAAAAAAAGACGTGTCGGGCAAAACGAACAGCACCAGGAAGGATCATAACAACTTCATCATTTCACATACACAAAGGAAAAAAAAAAAAAGAAAAAAAAAAAGCACCCGGCCTTGGTAGTTTTTCGCCCGCGTGTGTTGTTTTCAACTTTTCCGCCCATTCCAAACTCTGTTTTTTTTTTTTACATAAATGCACATGCGCCTTTTTATTTTCACCTCGTTCGACTCATTCCCTATCCTGAAAGCTTTTTTTTTCCTGTTAGAAATTCGAACAGGATCATCTTCCTGTTCTTCCAGCATACATCCAGAGGAGAGCTGCTCTTCTCTGCTATGGTGGGACAGCTAGGGTGTGAGAGAGCTTTGTGGGACTGGTAAGTAGTATGTGGTCCCCATCTGCTTGACTAGTCAGTCATACGTGGTCCCCACCCTCGGGGCCCCCTTATTGCTCTCCCAATGTGCAGTGAGCACTTCCCACCAAGTCCACCTCTTGCCTTACATCACATTATCATAGCCAGGCCAATCATAGTAGCCAGGCCAATCATAGTAGCCAGTCCCACAACGCTCTCACACCATAGCTGTCCCACCATAGATATTTCGCTGTCTCCTTGTCTTGCACACATGTTGTGCACACCGTGTCAATTCTGTCTCCACTCTCACCTCACGCAAAATAGCGGGATTACATTGGCAGAGATACGGCAAGACGCAGCACTTGCCCACCAAAAAAAAATAATAATAAAAAAAAAAGGGGTCTTGCCATGAAGTACATGTTCTGGGCTAAGGCCCCACCAAGCCTAGTGCCCGCCCTAAGTGAAGGCGGGCCAGCAAATCAACAAGAGCCCTCTGCGCAAACATTTCACGAAGTGGGGTCCATACAGTTGCAGCACGCCAGTTGGTTGGAGTGCACTGGGGCCCAGGCGCAGGCTCAAGGGAGGCCACCCACACGCAACACTGGCATATAGGCAGGGAGGGCGAGTGGGCAAGGATCTTGGCCATTGCGGGCAATGCCGGCACGCTGCGCGAATGCGAGGTGCTGTGCTGTGCTAGGCTGAGGTAGAGGCAGGCTGCGCTAAGCGGTAGAGTGCTGCCTGGGCGCAGGGCGCTAGCGGCCATAGCCGGGCTGCCTGTGGGCGCAGAGGAGGTGAAGGGCGAAGGTGGTTCTTCGGAGGTGAAGGGCGCTGTATGGGATAACAAGGGAGAGTGAGGGTGAAGAGAGAGACGTACCTGGTGGAGAGGAGGTCGGCATTGGTGTTGACATCATCACCCGCCGGTCGTCAAGTTGTCTGGTTGCTTTCATGCTGTAGTTGTAGTGATAGGCTTGAGTAGGTAGGGCGCCAGGCGCCATTCAAGAGAGAGAGCTACATTGGGTTATGCTATTGGTGTTGCCCGATTGGGCTTGGACATTGACTCACGATTCTTCTGTATCGTTCTCAAATGGATGGTTACTCGGTTCCATTGTGCTATCTGCTCTTGCTTTGACTACTTGGACTTCAGTGTGATTTTGCATTCTGGATTTATGTGCTTCGTCCATATTCATGTTCCTTGCATTTATTTCTTAGAGAAAAAAAAAAAGAAAAAAAAACTTGCATCACTACCGACCTCCCCGATTTTTCCCGCCCACCCTTCCCCCAACCCCGCCACATCTGAATACACTAATAAAAAAAAGGGATTAACTTGTTGTTCGAGATAAAACGACATAAGCCACAGAATCTGGCGCAACGAGGACATACCTGTGAGAGAATGGCGTCAACAAATCTCCGGAAGGGACGATCCAAGCAAAACATCTTTTTTTCTTCTTTTCTTTTTACAACTTGAGAGACGATCCACAGTCAACAGTCGGAAGAAAAAGGCTAAAAAAGGAGAGCAGCACAAGACCCCAGGAAAAGGGACAGGGAGGAGGGGGGGGCGGGGGGGGGGGGGRGGGAAGGTCAAGGACAAGGAGAACGGCCTTGGGAGAGGGAGAGAGAAGTAGACAGCGGAGCACATACACATAGGATGCCAGACAAGGAATTTGTGGGCAACAACATATATGCCTGTGGTTAGAGCAACTTTTAGTCTAGAAACAGCGATGAGTGCTGTTGTCCCACCATACACTCTATTTTGGGGGAAGATGATGTGCACCTTTTAGTCTAGAAACATATACAAGGGCTCTTTGGAGAGAGGAAAAAAGGTGGGGCAAGAAAAAGAGAAGAGATGGTCAACAACATACACAATGGCTGTCAGTTCCCCCAAAATAGAGTGTAAGGTCCTTATGCCTGTAGCTGGGGAAACTTTCAGTCTACATACAGCGATAAAAGACAGTAGATGACATGCTCACCGAAGCATGGGAGTATAGAAGCAGTGAATGGTCTGTGAATCGTACAGCAGAAGTAGAACATGTTGCCATTACAATATATATATATACATATATATATATAGTCAAACAGAGCTGCCCGGTGAACCGCAGTCAGAGAGGGAGAAGAGGACAATAAACGAGGGGCTGTGACAAGCTGTTCCATCGGAGTTTCACCTACTCATCAGGAGGCTGAACCCTCGTCAAACAAACCTGCCGACGGTAAACCGTAGGTGGCAGAGAGGGGCTGTGACAAACTGTTTTGTTGAAGTGTATATATATCGTCAAAAAGAGCTGCCCGGTAGACTGTAGGCAGGGAGGCAGAAGAGGACAACAAACAAGGGGCTGTGACAAACTGTTTCGTCGGAGTTTTTATTTTAGTGTATGTATGTATATCTTTGGGCGATTCTGCAGCTATAATCTGCGCCCAAATATCTCCCTCCCCACCTCCCATTGTACACCCCACCCGTTCACCGAACTTCACCCACAAAGTGATAACCAACCATATCCCCACTGGAGCGTAAAAACCTCTACTTCTCGATTACAGGAAGTTATCTCGCTCATTCACACATGCAACCTCCTTGCCCGTCGTTGTTTCCCAAAAGGCCCATTTCTTTTTTTCCTTTTAAAAAAAAAGAGCCAGCTTCGGACCACTAGGTGGGGGGTGATAAGAGCACCTGCCCCCTCACGGGCCCCTGCCGGTCGCCCTTCACAAAAGGAGTGATCGGCAATCTCTACAAAATTTGTAAACACAGAACAACATTTGGCGCTTTATGTGTGGTGCACCTACTTTGCATGGCTGAGAGCGCTCCACTCCACCGCCAGATGGGACTTCTCGCTCAGAGACAAACTGCACCGTGCAGCAGAACCTCCGGGGGGGTTCAATGCTATACAACTCACGACAGGAAGATGACGACAGCAATTGAAGTTGATTGGCAGCAAATGAGAAACGCAGACCCTTTTTTAAAAGAGAAGGCCAAGAAGAAGGATAACAAGAACAACAACAAGCATTAACGATCCTTCAGTTATTCCACATGAATAGTTGGGAAACGAGAAGAAAACAAAAATAAACGAATTTCAGAATTTCAGAATTTCAGAAACACCTAAATCTTCATCCTACGTCTAACAAAGGGAGAGGAGCATAAAAGAGAGGTTACAAGTCCAAAACTCCTAACTCGAATTTCCCGCCGAATGAAACAAAAAAAAAAAAAAAAACCCAACAATGTCCATCTTCTGCCCCATCCGTCATTCCTTCCCAAAGTCGGTGCTATAGTGTGCACTTGACTCCAACTTCTTCGCATCGTTCAGCTTACGGACTGCCTGCTCATTGAGAAGAACAACCAACCAAGCGACAAATCAAAAATTACTGATCAGTGTGACGAGCAAGAAATCAGGTCGAGACTCGAAAGTGATTAACCATCAGTGTGACGTGAAGAGGGGGCGGGGTATCATCATTCATAAGAACAAACAAGCAACATAAAAGGCTATCGAAAGCCCTATTAGCAGAGAATATCTCCCTTGCACTCGGTCACAAACCCACACACACACACACACACACACATACACAACAACAACAACAACAACAACAACAACAAAAGTAGCAAACCGAACAGAAACAAAAGCCCTATTAGCAGTCGATACCTCCCTTGCACTCTCACACACACACACACACACACACACATACACACAACAACAACAACAATAATGACAAAAAAAAATAGCAAACTGAACAGAAACAAAAGCCCTATTTGCAGTCAATACCTCCCTTGCACTCACTCACGCGCACACACACACACACACACACACACACACACACACACACACACACACACACACACCAACGACAACAACGACAACAACAACGACAACAAACGTAGCAAACTGAACAGAAACAAAAGCCACATAAGAAACCGGGTAAGGAATCAAGATGGGAAAGGAATGAAGACGGTAGGTCCCACCTTCATGAAATCCTCCTGTACAACATAGTCGCGCTCGTCACGAATCGCAAACATTCCCGCTTCTGTGCATACATTTCGCAAGTCCGCACCATTAAATCCCTGCAGAGAACGACACGGACCAAACAGGTACGCATAAGTGTCTACATACAGATAATCAGAGAGCTTGGGGCCATTCTCCTTCCTTGCTGCGAGTACTTCTCTAGCACTGTGCTTAAAACTGCACTTCACACAAGCGGAAAGGAAGGAGAATGGCCCACCCGTGTACCTCTAGCATTTTTTTTTTTTTTTTTTTTTGGCGGCAGCTATTTTCTTCCGACCCACCCGTGTAATTGCCGCGACTTTTGGAAAAGATCTAGCATGCAAAACACAGCAATCATGAAAGCTTCCAGAACTTAAAAAGCTATCATGAACTATATCTTGTAGTTCTGAATACTTTTCAAACTCTTCGTCATTGAAGGCACGGAACACTGACCATCCAAAAAGAAGTTTCCAAGCAAAAGAACCCACGGCCAGCTTGTATCAAACCGTACCAATTACCTTTTTAGCCCTGATGATGAATGAAACACACGAACGAACCTCTGAAGAGAAAAAGAAAAAAAGAAAAAGAAAGACGCAAAAGAATTGGAGAGTGCTGTCCTTCAGGACATCCGTTAGCATGGCGCCTGCGCAAGAATGACACGCATAAATCGAGAAATGTTCCAAATTTAAAAAAAAAAAAAAAAAAAAAGGGGAGAGTGCTGCCCGGATAACTCTGGGTTGAATTGTGTGGTCCCCGGCCTCGATCAGCATTTTGATAATCGTAACTAGCTTTCCCCCCCAGGCGCCCGGAATGGCGCTCGGGGCGCTAGGCCGTGCAACCCCCCCGCCCAGGCCCCCGGGCCCCCTCAGCAACGTACCCAAGACGGCGGCAAAAAAAAAAAATCGCGCCGGCGGCCGTTGGCCCATAGATCCAAAAAAAAATTGGCGGCCGGCGCGCTATTTTTCGGAGCCCGGTAGGGCCCTTTTTTGAAGGGTTTTTTTTTCACTCCTGGCCGTCAATCGTCGGCGATCGACGGCGATCGTGGCTCCCAGGATTCAAATTCGAATCCTGGGCCGATCTGGCCCCCGCCCCGTGCCCCTCCGCCCTCCACCCTCCTGCCCTCCGCCAGGCGCCAGTGACGACGACGCCCCCCTGCCGTGCCGTCGTCGCCGTCATGCTGCTGCCGTCATCGTCGTCGTCCCGCTGCCCGGCCATTGTCGTCCCCCTGCTGCCGCGTCCTCGTCGTCCTCCAGCTGCCACGCCATCGTCGTCATCCGCCTTCCCTCCGACTTCCTCGAGTGCTGCCACGCGCCATCTTCACGAAGGGTCGAACTTCGAGGTAAGTTACTAAGTTCTCATTTTTATTTTTCTTCTTCTTCTTATTATTATTATTATTATTATTATTATTTATTTTATTTTATTTGTTTTTCCTTTTCTTCTTCTTCTTCTTCTTCCCATCGACTTCCGTTTTTTTTTTCTCATCTTGTTTTCCTTCTTCTTCTTCATTTCTTCTGCTTCTTGTTCTTATACTTCTTCCCGCCTACTTTCACAAATACTGCCGTGCTGCCTTCCCATCATTTCTTTTTCTTCTTCTTCTTCTTCTTCTTCTTCTTCTTCTTCTTCTTCTTCTTCTTCCTCTTCTTCTTTTTCGTTTTTGCTGCTTCTTCGCTTCTTATTCTTCTTCCTTGTTTCTTCTTCTTCTTCTTTTTCTTCTTCTTCTTCTTTTTCGTTTTTGCTGCTTCTTCGCTTCTTATTCTTCTTCCTCGTTTCTTCTTCTTCTTCTTCTTCTTCTTCTTCTTCCTCGTTTCTTCTATTTCGTTTCTTTTTCGTTTTCGTTTTCGTTTCTTCTTTTCCTTCTTCTTCTTCTTCTTCTTCTTCTTCTTCTTCTTCTTCTTCTTCTTCTTCCTCGTTTCTTCTATTTCGTTTCTTTTTCGTTTTCGTTTTCATTTTCGTTTTCGTTTCTTCTTTTCCTTCTTCTGCTTATTCTTCTTCGTTTTCGTTCCATTTGGAGAGGCCCAGGCCCACGCGTGTGGAAGGTTCTGGACCACGTGGAGAGTTCTTCTTCACTGGTGGCCATCGCTTCTGCTTCGTCTTTTTCTTTTTCGATTCTTCTTCTTCTTCTTTTTCGCTGCTTCTTCTTCTTCTTCTTCTTCTTCTTCTTCTTCACTGGTGGGCATCACCTCTCTCTTTCCTTCAGCGGTGGCTATCACCTGCCCCCTCCTCCACTCTTCGTCACGCAGGCCCTCCCTCTTCCGCTGTACCCCCCCACCAACTCTACGTCAGCCATAGCCTCCCTCCCTCCTCCGCCATAGCCTTCCTTCTCCCTCCTCCCTCCTCTCAC